TGACTCTATATATGGAACACGTCTTAATTGTACAGTTCAAAATTCTTATGCGATAGTGACCATGACAAAAATGTCATTTTGTCCTGCAGAAGTTTGCTCCTCCATTTGTTAGAGAAGGAGATACCAGTGGGCATGCATCTGCTCTTGGTTCCATTGTTACTAGAATGTAAATTTACTTAAATTTATTTTTTAAGTCAGCTACCACAGAAATACTCATCTACTAGATAAGTATCTATTTGGTAACTTTCTGCAGTGAGTTGCTTTAAATCCATTAGGATCAATTCTCCAGCATAAGTTTCCACTACCTTTTGAAAGAAATATCTAATCAAAAGGACACCACTTTTCTTGTAGCTTTGACAAGGACACATCACAACAAAGGTGGAAATGAAATTAACTGAACTACTGTTGAACTTTTAAATGTACCAATCCTGTCGCATTTCCTTGTAGTCCAAAGTGTGTACAATACCCAAGTTCACAAATTCTGGCAGCCTTTCTGCAAAACACGGAGAGAACCAGCATGAGCACATTTCAGCCTCTGATGAAACTGCAAAAACCTTAACTTTTTTTGTTTCCAAATCTAAGCCTGGCAGTTACACCACCATTAATGCAAGCCCAGAAAGTCAGTGGGACCATCACACAGACAAGGATGTGCAGAAGATCAGCTTGTTTAAAGTTCTGTTGCTGGTGGCTTGAGCTGGTGGGCATGATGGCTGTGTTTGTTTTCATAGAGTCCAAAAGATTAAACTTCCTCAATAATGGTCTCCATACTGAAACAGAGGAACATATTATTGTCCAAGATAATGTGCAAAGTCACTTCCAATCCAGCTGGTACTGCTCCAAATAGAAGAGAGGAAAGAAAGGAGGTTCTAAGTTCATGGAATAGGAGAGAGAACAGAAACCAGACAGCAGAGTACTCCTGAGCACACCCCTAAAAAAAAAGCTAAAAGTTCTTTGATCTAAGCACTTTCTTGGCTAAAAGGTCTTTGAGCTGCAAGCAAAAACCTATTCTCAGCTATTTGATGTCCTCAGTATTCAGGGAAACAGGATCTTGCACATTCTTTATCAGTAACAGGAATTCCAGAGATACCTGAGCTTCCACCATCCACCTCTCTCAAGAACACAAAACCTTGAACTTTGATTGCTCACCACTGACAAAAAGGATAACAGTCCAAGTTGCCCTTCTTTCCTCAAAAACCGTAGAGATAAAGCATTCACCCAGAAAATGTGCTGTATGGGCTACTAGAAAACAAAACAGTGCTTCAGCTTCTGAAAGCATTAGAAATCCAAACTCAGCTTTTAAATATATTTCAATCTCACATTATTCCAAATTTCATCTGAAATTATTCCAAATAAAAAAAAAATCAAACACACGTTGGGAGTAATAAAATTTGATTTTTTCCATAAATTAAAAAAAAAATGCAGATCATTGGAGCTGGAAAACAAGCAAAAAAACCCCACTTTCATAACCAGACCAGTGAAGGTAGAATGCTCCTCTGTAGGTTGCCTAGTTCCAGTCCCCCTACTCAGGGGCAGATTCCCAGGCCTGTGGCCACTTGTAATTTGTCTGTCTCCAAGGATGGAGACTCTACTACCTCTGTGTGCCACCTGTGCCACTGCTCGACCAAACTCACAGGGAAAAGCTTATTTTTGTGTCTAAATGGAATTGTACTGTAAAGATTAGACTGATCTAAAGTGTCAAGCATCCTCTTCCTTAGAAGAAACTGCCTCTTCTACTTGCAATTTTGAGATTTACAGTTTAGCCAGTGTGTCAAATGGAGCAGCCTTAATAATGGACGCCATGGGGAACAGAGAGTGAAAAACAAATTTGCTGATTACAGCTGTGTCTGTTCTTAACTTCTACTTTTGAAAATAAGTAAATTCAAAGAGCATTTTGGAGGGTTCTCTCCCCATTAAGCACTCCATTACTGTGACTCAAAGTTACTGGAACCTCCAGTGTAGAAGTAAAATGGACTTAAAATACCTAAGAACATGTTACATCCAAAACACTATCACAGGGCTGTAGGGATGCTCAAGTATCACTTATCAAGTGCACTCGGGTTCAGTGATTTTTTCTTTTTCCCTGTCACCACTTCAACCCAACCTGGGTTTCAAGTTTGGGGCTTGGCCGTTTCCTGCTCTCATGGCTAAGCACCTTCAGCTGAAGGATGCCTCTGCAGCACATTTCCTGGCTGACTGCAGGAAGCTTGTTCCCAGCAGGAAGTTTGCAGCTGTGAAGTTTCCAGCTCGCTGTTTCTCAGGTGTACTTGCACAGACTCTCAGCACTAGCAGCTGTAAAACAAGCATTTCCTGAGTCACACCAGGAAAAATGATGTAGCTCAATTCACTTCAGTTCCACCCTCTTCATCCCAGGGGAAAAAAAAACAGAGGAAAGCAATGTACCAAACCCATCACACAGGTACTTGCAAGTGGAATAATAACTTTGATACATTGAGAAAAACTGCAACTACATCTTCATGGGGGCACATTATGGATTTTTAATTTACTTGGTATTATGAAGTGTTAATTGTTTTGCCATGAACATTCACAGTAGGAAAAGGATGAGTTAGAACAAAGCAATTACACAACTATTTTTTTCCAAGTAACATTTATTAATAACATTTTTAAGGTGATAACTTAAGAGTCATAAGGAAGGGGGCTGTTGTCAGTAAACATACAATGAAAAGGTAGTAAGATTTTTCTATTAAAGTATGACTAACAAGGCTTGTAACAGTGTTTAGCTCAACCAAATTTAATATTAAAAACATTCAAAATTGCTAGAAGTGTTGCAATCAGTTCTATTGAACTTAAAAACCTCATTTCAGTAGTCAATACTAACCTATTTATATAAAATTTTAAACTCCATTCATAATTTTTGTAAACAAAGCACCTAAGCATTTGAAAGAAAAAAAAAGTTAGTTTACATCCCACTAAATGGCAACACATGTGTGAAACCTCAGGCATGATGAGGCATGGAGCATTATTAGGCACAGAACAAGACAGAGCTTCCACAGCCAGCTGCTGAATACACTTATGTTGCCAAAGGTCTTTTTTATTTATACTAATTCCATTATCACTTATAGCTGAAAATTTAATAAATCCTCCATGTGGAAGATTTCAAAGAGACTAAGAAGTCATCTTGCATAGGTTTGTGAAGCTTCTGAGGGCTTTCAATTGTACATGATTTTAAATGAGTTATGACTTCTTTATCTGCTTCAGGATTTTCCAGAAACTTCTTCAAAACCACTGAACTTTGGCAGATACTGGGCTTGTCAAAGAGCATAACACATCAGAAGACACATTTTCAGTCTGCTATTAAAACATGGAGGTATGCTTTAATTTATTATGAAATGCCAGTTAAATAAAACAGAAGATGACCACTGTATTCTGAGGCTGCCAGTTCAAGCTCGAGTCAAGGGGGGGAACTACTAACATACAAAAACTGCTTGTAATTCCTGTTTTCTTAGGGAAGCTGCAAACAAGGTGAGTTATCTTACCCGTATCAACTGGCACCACGCTCAACCTCTGTGAATGGCAACAACTAATATCCAGGCTGTTGTTTGTCTGCTCCTGACTCTTGCAAAAAAAAAGTTTAAACTTGACATAACATAAATTAGGTAAATTTGCAGTAAGCCTTTGTTAACTACCAATACAGATTTTCAATTGTCTTGATTAGCATAGTTCCAAAGTAAATCTAGCTAAACTAGATTTAATCAGGGTAAATTTTCCTGAGCTGACATGCCCCAAACTGACTAGAAATGTCTATAGAGGTGACCTTCAAACAAAGGAGGCACTTGCACCAGGCACTGCAGGAAAGTGCCTCTGCACAGCATGTGCTTACTCAGTTGTTTTCTCCAGGGTTCTTGAACTTGTACTTGCTATAGGAATGACATTCATTTAAAGAATAGGAAAAATGTTTTAACAACTACCCGACATTAGCACTAAGTGAACTCAGTGGTCTCCCCTTGTTGCCTTCTCCAGTTTTCTTTGGTGTCAAGTGTTAGCATTACAGCTATACAAATTTTCTATGCCTAATCCCCCTCAATTTGCAGTTTCCTGACAAAAGACCAGGTGTCAAACAAACTCAAACTCTTCTAAATGCAAACTAATGATTTAAACTACTTATCCTTTTTCCATGTCTTTAAAAACAAAAACAAATTAAGATTAAACAAGTTAAACACATGCATTTGCCTTAGCTAACACAGGTAATACTAGCACTATTCAAATCTGTTTTGTCTATCAATTGGAAAGAATTTTCAAAAATACTTAAAAAAAAAAGTATGGTGCAGATGCAAGAGGTAAAAAAAACTCAAAAAAAACCAACAAAACAAAACAAAACAAAAAACCAAAACAAACCCTGTCCTTTTTTCCCCTACCCCTCTGAACTGATCCACAGACAAATGAAGACCACAAATACACACCTACTCTCAACAGATGAGAACCAGGCCAGTGTTAACTTTTTATCCCATCTCTTAAAATAGCACTTTCTAAGCAAAAATCCTCTTGCCTTCCACACCATCTTGTCTGTCAACTATTCCAGGACCTGTACAGAAGTATTCAGGATTATGTGTCACTACTTCCCCTCTTTTATTATTTTTACATGTTTGGAAATGTATATAATCCAAAGACTTGCATCAAAGCTTAACAATTTTCACAATTAAGGCATAAGCCAGTGATACAATAAGGGGAGTGGGGAGGAAGAGTTCACAACCCCACGCTCAATTTGCCCTTTTATTTTATAGTTCACAATGTACATCGACATACACACTGTTTATTGAATTACTTGTAGTAATGGAACCATAGTTTCATTTTTCTGTCACTATAGTTACGTTACTATCCAACTTTGCATTCAAAATCTAGAATGAAATCCTATGAAGGGTACATTTTTTTTTTTTAAAGCAACCTAACTAATCTTAATCAAAACTTTAAAGGAACATTTCACGAAGATGACATGGGCAAGCAACTTTTATAAAAATATACTGTATAGAAACACAGTTGGAAAATTGCATAGAAAATATCCTTTTATTTAAATTGAAATAAGGCACAGTTTTACTAGCTATGGTTTGGCTGTAAAAATGAACTCCTTTTTGATTACTTTTATGTTATTAACAGTATTTTCCATAAAAATATAGGTGCAGGGATAAAAAAACCCTTTTACACAGAGTGGGAAACACTCTATTGTAAAATTTCACCAAATTTACTGTAATTCAGCTTCAAAAATTCAAATGCTATTTTAAATCAGGATCCCACATATTATTGTCCTCCAGACTGTTCAGTGGCTGATGCTGTGCTTTCTTCATTTCCTGTGTAATCCAGGTGTTCCATCATCTAAAAAAGGAAAAAGAAAAGGGAAAAGAAATGTCTCTTCATAAAGAAATACTGCTTCACCCCATTGATCTAAAGTATTTGTTAGCTAAGAGAAATATAATTATAACATGTGTTAGAGTGCATTTTAGCAGCATACATTTAGGAGGTCCTCTATAGATCAGAAAAGTATTTAAGCCAAATAATCAAAGCTGTATTAGCTAATGCTTTCCACTACAAAACGATTCTCCAACCAAGGACCCGAGTCCTCTACAAGAAAATAAACTTGTGAGTCAGAAGTATCTCAATTATTAAATACAGATAACAAGAAGACAATTGGGATTAAGCAAATTTTTCAAAGATATGGCTTGCAAAACTGGAAGTAGACTCTAGTATCTTACCTGACATCTACAGAATTTAATTCAAGCAATAGCTTGAACAGAAAACACTTTCTCTTTTCATGGCTGTAAACACCACCTACATTACAGTTAGTCAAAACTAACAGTAGTGGTCACATTTCTTTGTAAATTTTCCTTTTATTTCAGAAAGGATAAAGGAAATGGAGCTGTAAAGTCCTGCATCAGGAGAGAATCCTAACCAGATTACTATATAGACTGACTCTACTTGCCATTGATGTAACTGATTAGATTGCCTGAATAACTTAAAACAAATTTGTAGTTGTCCTGACTAAAAAGCAGCCTGTTTCCCTATCACTGTTGTATTGCTGGAGGCAATGAAGGTTCTGGTTTTTCCTCAGGGACAAGGCATTGAATGAAGGAAATACACGTGTTTGTTAGTGTGACAAACTGACCATCAGTTTGAGGGCTTCAGAACTGAGCATACTTAACAAGAGGCCAAGAACTGGACAGTCTGGGTAGCTGACAGCCAGAGACAGAAGACACAGAACTAGTACAACTAATGCTGAAAAAACAAAATGTGCCAACGAGCTCATATGCCCGGGGTGGCAGGATTATTAGGGCAAGAGATAATGTTTTAAGCATCAAAGGGTAGGAAACCCTACTTACTTTCTTCCATAGTGGCATATCCATGCTCATTGTGTGGATTCTGATCGAAGCTGGACTGATTTCCACACAATTATTTTCTTGTCTTACTAGCACGTGCTCAGAATCCTTGCCAGGACAAATCCAAGCTCTGAGACTGCTGTGTTGTACACACTTTAATGTGGTATTATTCCATGAACAGGGTAAAAAGACTTGTTCCATTAACTTTTCTCTTTTTCTCTAGTTATGACCCAGGTCTGTGCCATTCCTTCTTTTACGCCACTGGAATTGTTTCATTGAGAGTACACAAACATGCCTTATCAAAAGCACTTCTGCTTAAACAAGCTGTTTCACAGTCCAGCCACACCAGCACACTGTGCAGTAGACCAAGATGACAGTTCCAAAAAACAAGTCAGTGGGATTTGGGTAAGGTTTAGGAGAGCCCAGTGGCCAGTATCAATCTAATACCAGAAAAGGTCTTCCACAACCCTCCCTTCATGTTCCAGAATCATGACAGTAAGAACTAAGGCAGGTACCAGTCTTGCCAAAGGACTGAATTAGAGCAGCAGCACACACGCAGTCCAGCAGTGAATACCCAGTTCTTGTGCTAATGACAATCTTGAGTGTATTTCAGTATATCCAGCATTTTCCCCTACACTGTGACCAAAAATCCACATCAAAAGTCGCCCAAAGCAAAAGACTCCTTACAATTATAGAACTCAAACCATCCCTTTGAATGAGGATTAAAGTATTCATTTCCAGGATAAAACAAGAACAACCTCCCCCCACAGTACCATATTACATCAAGTCATGCCATATATCTTCCTTCAGCCTAGAGAAAGTAATTTTGCTAAGCATTTTTTTACAGTCTTTTCCTATGCAATTGACAAAATGCTTCTAGAAATCAGAGTTAACAGTACTTGCAATAATTCAGTATTCCAAAGTCAAAGATTCTTCTGGTAATCCTACAGCATTAAGCAGCAAAAAATGTTCTTTTTTTTGTACAAATGCCGGAGATTGCACCTGTATTTAAATTTTTATGTCTCCACTTAATAATCAGATTTTGAAGTTAATTTTAAAACCAAATGCCTTGTAAAACTCTAAGGGTGTTGGGGGGAGGGTGTTTATATAAATGTTTCAAGCCTAAAAGAACCACCCCACCCCATTTTTAATCTTTCCTCCACACAGAAGAACAGCCCACAACTTAAAGTTGGGGACAACAGGTGCCTCTCTAAAAGAACAAGATGGCATTTGAGCAGCTTTGTCCACACACATATCTCCACTGTGGATTCTCTCAGGACAACCCCTCCCTCAAAGCCTCCACAGAAGCTGCAGGAATCTTTAAATAACCAGCTGCAAGATGAAGGCACCTGCTTCAAGCCTGACAAAGCTGTTGTTTTAAGCTAAGAATGAGGCAAAGCAATCTGTACATTGTGAAGAGCTCACAAACATTACTGCAGTGGAAGAGACTCAGAAGCTTTGCTCTCACATCTGAATTTCTGACAGTTTTTAAGGGGGAGGTGTTAAGACAGCTTTGTAACGAAATCATTTTTGTTTAACCTATCTACAAACATGGTGAACTATTAAAAACTAAACCAGCAAACTCAACCCCCAAAAAACCACTTCCACCAGAGCCAAACTAGAAATGGCAGTACAAATGTACCCTCTCTGTAAGAGCACATAGTACCTATGTGCAGAATTGCTTGCAAGATTCATGGCAATAATGTTTAAATAACCAGCTGCATTCATGAAATTCTTAACAACTCCCAGTTTTGATAAATTTGCAAGTATCTAAAAATGTGATTATAAAACTTACTAAATAGCAGGTGCATGCTGTATAATATGCCAGTGACAAATCTGTTGATTTATTACTTCAAAGACAGATAAGTGCTAAACACTTCAAACTGACAAACTCCAACAAGTTTCAAGACTACTCCATGTAGAAGACTTCAAAGTTGCATTAGGCCACTAGATTTTTCATGATTTTGCTAAGATTATTTCATAGATTGCACTGATACAAAAACCAGTATTCTAAAATTAAATCAATAACTGGAAAATAAGTATTAAATTAATTTATCATGAAGGCATCCATGAGGAGTATAAGCAATCCAGAAAGCTAGATAAACCTTTATTTTACACTTCACAGCAGCAATACTGCCAGTTAGGTGGCAGGAAAGTAAGTACATTACTCTTCCAATAAATCTCTGCACTTCAGTGAATAGTTAAAATGTTTTCTGTGCAGCAACTCTTTACAGCTCAAGACTACCCCATGAAAGAGCCACACAGAGCATAACTAGAATTTAAGACTGCCTCATTATGCAGAAACAGAAATTACCTCAGCTATGAATTATGGGACCTCAGAGCTATATTGGGAAGTCAAGTATTTGTCATACGTATAAAGCAGAAACTAAAAAAGTGATTTTAACCGACCAATTCAAGAACTCGAGTGTGCACAGCAGGACAGAAGAATTCTAAGTTATAAAAATAGTCTGGCCATCTGCTTTTAATTTGTACTCAATCCCTCCCACTTCCTAATATCATCTTTAGTTTATATCTAATTTCTTTATTATTAAGGCTTTTTAATGACATTTAAATTGTTAAAGTACACTTTCTTAGAAGAAAGAAGCTAATGAGAAAAGTCCTTTTTACTTGAGAATTTAAGACACAGGCGGAATTCACCATCTCAAACTGTCTTCAGAGCAGACACCCTGTGCATTATAAATAGATGTATAACTCCAGCAACTATAATTCAAGATTATATTTAAATGCTTACATTCCACGAGAAGCTGAAATTTGAAAGGTTGCACTGCTCTCTCAAGCTGTGTGGACAGCAAAAATAAAAGCCATCAGTGTGAGCAGTGGGGAGCTGCTGCCAAGAAAGGTCAAAGCTCGCAGCAGCCCAGATGTGCTGCGGCGGGGAGGCCCCAGCGCAGGCAGTGCAGACAGGACAGCATCAAGGACACTGTGGAGCAGGAGGATGACACAAGGCTGCAGACATGATCACTAAAGGCAAATTTATAATGCTCAGCATTGTAACAGGAGACAACAAAATTGTTGTTTAGCACTAAGCAGTTTTTCACATCTACGCAGTGACAGAAAAATCAGGTGAAGGAGTGCAATATAGGTAACAGAAGAGGAACGAACACCAACTGCAAATATTTGAAGACAGTCCTAGGGTTTAGGAAGCTAGAGAGTAGAGAAGCATACAAAGCCTGCCTTCAGGCTTAGGAATCACAGCTTCATTGCTACTTTATACTATGTTTGCCTGCACTCCTTTAAAAAAACAAAAACCCCAGAAGACCTAAGTGTGAATACATATTTGTATCTTGTCTTCAGTTCTACCCTCTTTTACCGAGTAATTTATACAAAATTAAGAGGTAGATGCAAAAAAGACTGAAAAGATGAAGCAGAAGGGGAAAAAGAAGAAAAAAGAAACTGTAAGACGATTAATAAAGTTGCATTAAAAGAAGTCCATAATCACACCTTGTAGCAAAGGCGTCCTGGAGGAGTCCGATACCTAAATAAAATTCATTCCATTATTAAAAACATATACAACAAAACCAACAAAAAAATCAGAAAAACACCAAACTCCAAAAAGGTAACTAATGGACTATTATTATGAAGTTTAGTCACCTGATGCACTGTACATGCTCTTCTACCCCTCTTCTAATGACACTCTGCCAGGTTTTTCTGTTCCAATGATGGCAAAGCAAACCTCTACACAAGTCTGACCACCCTTGTCAACAGAGCAGCTCTGCCCAAGCCTCAATCACTGATGTAGCAAAAAAATTGTCTTCTGACACCTTTCCATTTCTTTCCTCCTCAAAGTGAGCATTGAAAGTTGGAGATTTCAACCCTAGAGCTGTGTGGGTTGGGGCTGTTCGGGGTTTTGTTTGCTTGGATTTTTTTGCTTGTTTGTAAGTTCAATAAGTACAGTTCAAAATACAGTTTTAGATAAGAAGGACAACATATGAGAAAGTTCAACCCTGCAGCTTTTCAAGAGTGCAACTTGAATAACAGTCTCTGGGAACAAAAGATTAATATAAAAATATTCTTCAGAAAGTTATAGAAAAATATAAATTAGTAAAGTTACACAGAGTTCAACTGCAGTTGAGTTGCAACTCAGTTACACAGAGCTCAGTTACAGAGAAGTCTAACTCAGGGATGGCAGAGCTGGGGGTTGAAATCAACATTTTAAATTGTGCTAGAAATGAAGTAATCTAACTCAAAACAAGCTGAAGTTCAGAGTAGTTTTAATCCTTCAGTAAACCAGTTGAAAGGACATGAAATAAACTACTATGGCAACATAATTCTTTCAAGTATGAGTTTTGCACCAAGAAGTACAAGAAATTTTTGTCACTGAGGAGACCTGCCAAATTTACTTAGGCCAATCTTACTCAGAACTCAAGTGAGGAAAATAAATTGTGTTTTCCCCACAACAAACCCAGAATTACCGGGCTTTATAAATGTGATTTTGTTAGAAGAGCCAACAGTCACCAATTTATATATAAATGCACTGTAAACCAAATTCATTCTGACCTACAGAAGAATATTTCTATCCAGTGGATCTATGAGAGGAGGAGTTTATTTTGTAAACAAAAAGACAGGGTATTTAGTTAAAGCTGAAAATCTGAGAATTTCATACCTAAGCCAACCTCCAGCTGAAGCAGGTGTAGTGTATTATATCAACAAAAGGTAGCATTTTGCTGCTAATACTATAGGAGCTGGTGTCTGTAGTTTTACAAGAATTACTCTTGACTTCACTGACCCACTTGAACTTTCCAATCCTGAAAAAGCAGGAGCTGTTTCTATCCCCCATGAACGTCCCACCTTTTCCCAGAACAGACTATCCAAGCTCAACATGCCCTAGGTATAGGTGATGGTCAATTCAAACAATACTGAACTTAGGTCTCAAGCAAAACACAGAGTAATCTTGAGACTGCTCTGTCTGATGATAAATGCCAGCTCACAGGGGTTACTACCCAGTTACTACAGCAAGTCACATCAGGGAAAATGTGCACGTGCCAACAGGTGAGATTTTAAGAACTGCAATTCCTGGGTAGTGTTAGACATAACCAAGGGGGAAATACAGACTATTTAAGGCAGTGTGCCCACAGTGTGTGCTGTGATAGAAAACAGTTACACAACCCAGCTATTTTGTTCCTCAACACTCCATACAATCCCGATGATGTAGGCCATCAGTAATGCATGGAAAGTTTCTAAAGTTCTAGTTGATCACAAATTTTTTGGAACTGTCTCTAATACAGAACTAGTGCAGTTTGGATTCTGCATGCTTAGTTCAATGACTCATGTTATACCACATCAAGATGATAGATGGGGGATGTTAAAATACAAGAAAACATTTCAAAGCAGATAGAACAAATTACTTTTCCTCCCCGAGTACTGAACCAGCTATTTATCTCCCTTGAGCTTTTTTCTGCCATGTCAACAACTAAGACTGAGATTTTCTAAGAGTAAATACTACTTTTCCTTATCAGTTCCAGAAGATCATAGGAAACCTTGCAGAAACTGGGCTGCAGATGGTCTATCACCAAGTTCTCAGAGAAGCATATACCCAAAGGAATTAACAACAGAATACTCAAGGCCTCCAGCCTACCTGGTAACTGCTTCCTTTCCAAAACTTCTTCATCTCTTTGCGCCTCCAGGCAACGAGGGAGCTTGTGATGAGTGTACATGGTACAAGATAGAGAAGCGCAGGCTGCCCCATCTTCATTAGTGCCAAAACGACAAAGGTCAGCACCATGCCAACGGCATAAGCTGTAAAAACACATTCATACATACACAATCAAGAACAGGAGAATTTTTAGGTTAGGTCAATAATTTAGTAAGACAATTTCTTTTTAAGCAGTATTTTCCTTGTTGATGTAACTGAAAAAGAGACACAATAGGCTGCTCTATATTTGGAAGACTTCTCAAAGCAACTTAAATGCCATAAAGAATAGTCACCTAAAGTACAAGTAGGCACACTAAAAAGAATTTCTGCAGAGATTCTTGACAACATTGAACCTTACCTGAAAAAAACATCTAGATCTGCCATTTAAAAAAAGCTACCATGAAGAACAACCATGCTGAAATATCAATTTACCTATTGTGCAGGAAATGTAGTATATAGAAGATGATCTTGTCTGAACATCAAATCTTCGACAATAGGCAACCAGAAGCCCTGGAAGAGGAAAAAAAAATTTTAAAGGAAAAGGATTAATGAAATGTTTAGTCATGATTTTTTTTCTCCCAGATTTTCCAAATGAAATCAGCATTTATAGTAAGACTTCCCATTATAGTATTTTATCTTCTTCCAATATTTTTTCTGTAAAGGCAAGAACCAGTCTAAGAAATCTTACAGTAAATGTAGAAAAAACCATAATGGAAATATGAGCCAAGCAAGCTTGGAATTAGAGGTTTGGGGTTTTCAAGCAACCTAATTACACTGTGCTATTTCCAGCTTTCTAACACAGAAGTGTAACAACCTATTTTTAATTTCTTCAGTAGGATTCTAATGCTCACTCTTAACATTCAGCAATTTTGCCTGCACATTCTCCATTAAAGTAATTTGCTCAGGACTCCAATTATGGCCAAATTCAGTTCCTCTGAGAAAGATGGAAAAACTTGGAAAAACATTTTACATTACCTCACCTCTAATTACATAGTCTAGGATACAAAAATCCTACAAAGTCACAGAATATTTGTTTTCTGTGAGATTTTAATGAAATTTAGTTAATCCTGACAACTGTATTTACCTACAGGACTTGCATTTACTCAATCCAGTACAGTAGAAAATAAAAAACCTTTCACTATTTAAGTATTCTATAAAACAGCAAGCTTTCTTCTACTCTGGCTTTTGTTGTATTCTGCACTGACTGATCAAGGCAAACTGCTGCATTTGATTTAGTAATTACCCTGTGAATAAACTCTGTGAGTCAGCTAAGAATAAAACCCAAAATATTTATTCATAAGTTACAGTTACCAAAAGCATTTGCTCACCTGGGACAATAATGTCTCCAAAACCCAGCAATGAAAAGGGCAAATCACAGAGTGTCGATGCAGAGTGTTCAAGTCTAGGCACTCTAATAACCACGGGTAGCTGGAAAACATTATTTCAAAAGCCACATAAATCTCATCTAGAGCATTATGGTGGTCTGGATTTTTTTGGTTGCTTGAATTAATAAACAGTTTAAATATAATTAATTTATCGTTAATGCAGACTTCAAAATAGGTAGAACCTGAAGTAAAAACCAGAAACCAACATAGAAAGTAGATAAAGCTTAAGGCAACTGGTAAGCTGGAATTTCAGATTTACAAATAATAGGCACACACAAAAAAAAAAGTTAAAACAATATTTAACCATGTAATAGGAATAACAAATCTGGATTATTAACCTAACTATAGAATATTGATCAATGATATCCAGGCCCTAAAGAGAAATTTGGACAGTAAGTTTTCCCCAAAAGAACAGTCTTTTCAGAGGAAATAATTTAAAAATCCAGTATCTGAAATACAATCCTTACTTTCTCATGGGGAGCTGAGCGTTCAGTAGGGACTTCCACCAAGTTTCCATCACTCTAGGATCAAACCCAAGTCAACAGGCATTTAATACTTAAAAGAAAATAGCAGAAGCTGGCTATATTTTGTGAGAAAGTTATGCTGAAAAGCACACTATGAATTAGCTACACAGGGTCAGTACTTTAGTGCTGGACATATTACAACAACTGTTCATACCTTTTCACTGTTTCCAAAGGGACCAGCTGCAACTTCAACCATTATACTTGCCCCATTCTGAAATTAAAGTTATTTTTCAAAAGTTAGTGGTTTAATGAACCAAAACTTTCATACAATATTTGCAAAAACTGTTTGTACCTCCACTTACAACTCAGGGTTGGAAAAATCCTGAATATCAAAGGGAATGCTCCAGTACTGTACAGTATTATACTGTATTGTTTGACAATAAAAACATGTAGTCCAGACTAAAATATTGTTAAAAAACCCAAAGCAACAAGTCCACTAGAAGTAGCTGGAATTTTAGACAAAAACATGTCAGCTTTTTCTGCCATGAGCTTTCTGCTTCAAAATAAAAGTAGGTTAACACTTGCACAGAGTTCATACCACACTGCAAGTGATCACTGCAGAAAGTACAAGAGCATATTCCAATAAATGGGTATTTAAAGCAAAACAAGGAAAAATCTGGAGTGCAGTAATTTCTCATGATCACACTATCCCTCACACTACGTGGGGATGGTTTACTTTTGACCATGTGATTGCCATAAAAATTTAGGCCACTGTTGTCTTACATGGGAAAAAATGGAAATCAGCTTTTCCACGTTGAGAACACTGCAAACACTGACCTGTTAAACAAAAATATTCTCCCTATGCCCAGACATTTTTGTTCTTACAGTAAATTCACAGACATACCTTTGTGATAAATGGTGTTATGAAGACAAAAAACACGTCATATAGAAGAAGGAGGCCTAGAAGTATTACACAGGACTGGCAAAAAAAAAAGAGAAGAAAAGATTACTGTGGGTTTTCAAGTATCACTCAGCTAGATTCTGGTACCATTACAGTACCATGTGTTTTAATCTGGCATACCATTCAGAACAAGATTAGTTTGTTTTAATAATTATTAAAAATGGTAAAGATTATGTTTTTTAATATATATTTCTTACATATTGAAAACCTACTTCCTGACAGTAAACTTGCAGATTCATGGCAGTAGAATATTTTCTTAAGGTAAGCAAATTACAGTACCTTAAAGTTGGGCATTTTCAGTGTTTTAATGAAGTTTAGGCAGAAAGCAACTCCCAAAATATCTTGCAAAATCCAAGCCCACCTAAAAAAAAAAACCCAAAACATTTTTACAGGTTGTTCAAACTGCTGCTAGAATCTAGATTTTTCTAGAAATAGCAAGGAAAATTTCTCAGAAAGCAAGAAATTACTTTTCAGAATTACTGCTACCAAAGCCACAGAAGTCCTAGTTTCAAGATGGTCAATTTATACCAGCCTCTGGTCATAAACAAGTAACTGTGCTGGTAATAGCTGCAATAGAGTTCATTTTCTTCATCATAGCTGGTAAGGGCTATGTTTTGGATTTGTGCTGGAAACAGTGTTGATAACACAGGGATGTTGTAGCTACTGCTGAGCAGAGCTATTCCCTATGCTATCTGCACCTCTTTTCTTCCGTGGCAGTCATTAGCAATCAAGCTAGTTCTTCCTCATCTTCATAGTTTTTTATAACTTCAAATTGCCACACAGCTCATTTACATTGCTTTGTTCTCTATTACTCCCATGCTTGTTAAGCTTCAAAATACTTTCATGACTTTTTTGAAATTGGCACTGGAGTTTAGAAGGATGCTGTGCTCCAGGATTAGCTGTATGCTGGGAAGTTCATTAACACCAATTATTCACCTTACTCTTAAGTCAGAATGCACCACTTACCTATCCTCATTTCGAAATACTGCCCAGACAACAGCTGCTGCTGTGCAGAATATAGCAAGAAAAATAAGCCTCACTTCAATGGTTTTGTTGGAACATGTAATCCTAAAAGAAAATAATTAAATTAAAAAAGAAAACCTGCAGCAGCCAAGACATATTCCTGTGCTATCACACATCCTTAAACTGACAAGGTGTTCTCAACCCAACTCCTCTGCTGCCTATAGCACAGTACTTGCTCCAACCAGGATCAAATGTGCAGGATCCTCCCCTTACAGAGCTCCTTGATTAATAAAATAAGCACATATGACAGACAACTAGAATTTTGTAAAACCAAGCTCAGACAGCCAACCAGAGCCTTTCAAACTTTATTACAGAATGCTTTCAAATAAAGGTAATGGAGCAAATCTACAACCATTTTAACTGTTGATTATGCTACAGATACCTTTAATATTTATTAAAGCAGCTTGTAATTTTCTTTTGTAACTATCCCACATACTAAAACCATACAGGAAACAATTTGTCAAACTGTTCTCGTATTTTCATGCTGCCTTGAGTAGCAACCAGAAAATACCCAGAGGAAGCCTGTCATTTTTAATAAAAGTGCACAATACCTGCACTGCCCAAATGGGATTTGTCCTATTAATGCTGCAAGACAGTTGTACAGACTCATCGCAGATGCCAGGCAGAAGACTGATATTATAACATAAACTAAATCAAAACAATGAAGACAGGAATCAGTGCCAAAAAATAGAAAACAGCAAATAAACACAATAACATACATTTGATATTTTGTATTCAAGAGTGTCTGGACTGGTACTGGGTGATGTGGTTTAAGGGTCACAGTGACAGTACTGTGTAGACAGTTGGACTGGATGATCTTGAATGTCTCTCTCAACCTTGAGGGTTCTATGATAAACTGCTAATAAATAGAGAAGTGCTCAACACTCATTAGAGACCCCAGACAGCTGAGTAGAGAAAATACTGAATTCTGAGTGTCTCTGCCATGACAAAGTCCTCATCAAGCAAAAACTTGACTCAGAGGTATCACAATTGCTTTCTAGCCAGATCCTCACCAAAATACTAAAACCAAACACCAAACCCCAACAAGCAAAAAATGCTCCCATCAAGCAAACTCTAAACACTACTAGGTTGTCACTGCCATTCTCCCGAAAACATTGACATAAATAATGGGTTTTTTTTGCTCATCATTTGTCACCTCTCTTCCACATGACTTCATTCAGAAGAAGCACTGTCAAAGCAGTCTTTGTAAGACAGCTGAAGAAACCTCTCCTTTAAGTAGCAACTACATCCTTTCAACCCCCAACTCACACACAGACAGAATAATTTAAAATGTTATATTCATTTTAGTTTAGAAATCTAGCTTTTTAGACTTAAACACTTCATAATATCATGTAGAAAAGAAACTCAAATGAGATCATTAATTGTTTCTTACCTAACCATTTGTAGAAGAAATAAAGTAAGACCAGCATGACACAACAGATGACAACAAACAAGATAACTGTTACAGGGGTGAAAGTCACATTTTCTTCCTTTTTCCATCGGGTTTCTCTCTCCCCAGGACTTGCTACTGCTTTCAGATTCTCACTGTTTTAAGAAAACAAACACCTCAGATGACGGATTAAAAATGTTTTACTATGGCCAAAATTGATATTATAGAACATTTAGACTGACAAGGTTTCAGTTTAGTCCCTCATACTACTATTAGACTTAAACCCACAGAAAATTGTATGGTTATAGTTCAAATTTCTCTCAATTTTTAAATGAAGATAAGCACTTCCAACTTAGCACAGATCACAAAGAAAAGATTCTTAACTGTGCTCCTTTCCAGTGGTGTGGTAATTGCCAACTTTAAGGGAGCATCCCCAACCAAAACCCTGACCCATGTGAAAAAAGTAGTACTACACTCTTAAACTGCTTTTCAGGATGCACACACCGAGCTCTATTAGTGCATCACCTCTGATTAGAAAATTTATTGGGCTAAATGTGGAGAATCTGATAAATATGTCTACAATAAATCAAAGCCATAGGTATTGCACACTCTTAAAACCTCATCCAGACATTAAGTGTCTGCAAAACCTATTCACGCTAGCAGAATGAAACTAGCTAAGTCTTAGTTCTTTTACTCTTACACCTCAAAATTACAGAGTAAAAGAAAGAGAGGTGGTGTGATTGGGAATTTTCACTGGGGGTAAGATTTCTCTGCATACATACTCCATATTTACACCTCACCATGCAAAATAAGGAGATTTAAATTGCTGTGTTTGTTCTTTGAGCAGAGAGCCCTTCTACTCTTTAGTACAGACCTAGTGCAAATTGCCCATCAGATAGCTTGTTCCTGAGGAATTCCAGGACCTACCTACCCAAATGCTGAATTCAGCACCGAAACAGCAACCTTCAAAAGAGAGTAACCCACAGGAGCAAGGCACCTTGTTAGATGAATCACCTTCTCAGAAGACATGCTTTTAATAAGCAGCTTTTTTAAAAAAATAAGCTCACCCTAGATTTATGAAAGAGCACTTTAACTAGTTTAATAAATTACATCTAGGTATTTTTAATATGGGAGACAGCACCACATTTTGTTATTTTAGCATTCAGTGCAGCCACACCCTGAAGCATTGCAGGGTGAAAAAGAAGTATTATCAGATCCAGCCTTTAAAAAAAGAAACATACACACTTCCCCTCCTTCTACTTCTTTAATCTCCTTAAAATAGCTAATTTGTATAACTGTGGGAAAAAGGAAGCTGTTGTTATCACATACAGTCCTCTCCTTGTTGTGCTGGGGAGCAAAGCACCAGAACACCGAGACCCTGAAGGTAGCAACACACATTTAGCCCATTTAGCATACACAGCCACCCAAGAAATACTGCAGAATAATGCCATGCTCTCAGAGGCCAGCTACAGACAGTTTAACCCCAGAAATTGATCTGTTTGTTCAGTTTAAGCACAGACAATTCTGTGCATCACTTAAAGCTGCACACCCCTCAAGGACAGTGCACAAACCCCCAGTACCCCTTGTTTCCCCTGCCTTTGCCACTTTGTGCACTGCCACTCCCTCTTCCCTCCACAGGGACTGCTGCTGCCTCCTTGTCCTTGCCCAGTCTGAGAGCTGCTGCCGCCCCAGCTCTGCTCTCCACCAGATAAAACAAAAAGCTGAAGCAGATAAGCCAGGCTGGACTTTATCTGGAGCCAGCCATACAAGCAAATTGTGCTTCCCATTGCTCATAGTGACAGGAGTGCTGCACAGCCAGCTGGGATGGAGCAGCTGTACAGCTCCTATCAATACAGACACCACATACAATATGTATTTACCTCCCGAATCACTGTGCTTGAAAGGCGTAACTAAAATACCTAATTTCTATTGTGGGTATTGGAAAATCATAATGCTAGTTATAGAATGTTTGGTAATTTGTCAAAATGTTAACTCATGCCTCCTCCCAAGAGCTGCATTATCCTTCAGGAACTTTTACAATCTATGCCTGAGGTGCCTTAAAGACCTCTGGTGAGTTTTCAGAGGTTACAGTGCTCAAACATTTCATGACAAAGCAGCTAATTGCACTTAGGTCTTCTAACTTTTTAACTACCAGCCTAAAAGAAAATAATTTCTCACTGATCATAGTGACAGTTTTCACAAGCTTTGCAGTCCACGTAATTTAAGCTATTCCATTTAACCAACTTACAGTTCTGCTACTCCACTCCAGTAGCCTCCCAGTGCCACTGTAAACACAGCAATTAGGAAGATGACAACCATACTGTAGTCAAACTCTGGCAAAGGTGGTGAATACAGAGTCACATTGACTTCTTTTCCAAGCACCTGAAATGTAACATACAAGTTGGTTCATAAGGAGAACAAAGAAATTATATTGCTTATTTTCCAACAAGATGTGCATCATGATTTCCTACTCTTAATCTACACAATCCTGAGAGGAAGTTTTCAACTCACTGCACAAGACATGTCAGATGTTTGCCAAGAAGCAATGCTTCCTATGCTACCCTTCAGGATGGTCAGGTTTGGAAACAAATCTATTACTACTCCTGTGTAAATACAGAGATAGCACAAGAGAAAATGGTACCTCTCTGCATTCTTTCCACACCTCTGAGAAGTTGTGCCTCTAGCCCAAATGCCTCCCCAAAATACACCAAACCGTCTGCTCTGCAGGAAAGCACATCTAACTCAATCACAGGTCCACTGAGGTATCAGCAGATCTACCTCTACTCAGCTCAGAGACTGACATGAGGCTTCAGACAGAACGCAGGGACAGCTCAAGGTGGCTGTTATTTACCAACAGCTTAACACAAACATGTGTTGAGATGAATTCAAATTAAAAGAAAGCAATTTCACACTGTTTAACAAATTTAAGACCTAAGGAAAAAAACCAATCAGCTGAAGTACGCAAAGAAAAAGGGAGAGAACACTGAGATGTAAGTGGTACTGAACTGTATAAAAATCTTGAAAGCAAAACCAAGGTGCTTGCCATTTGACTGAAAGGTGAGATTTAAAAAACAAAGAAAGGATGAAAATTAGACAGGAAATGGAAAGTAGCAGGGAAGACAAGTTTGCTGTTGCCGTTAAAGTAACTCCAGACATCTAAAATAATTGTGCAGTGAGAACAGACTTCAGAGATGCAGAAAAAAACCCCAAATTTGTTTACAGTCTGCATGTGAGATAAAAGCAAGAGAGAGAAGAACATGCCAGACAGGTTTGGCTTCAGAAAGATCAAACTGGCACTAGAAAAACGGAATGGGAAGCCCAGTGGTTGAGTGGAACACAGTGGCCACAGATGAAGAAAATTTTCTAATTACAGATAATAACCTTTCTGCAGGCTAAAGAAGTCACAATCATTCTTTTCGCCTGAAGTTATGGAAGTTCAGAAAACAAGGAATAAAATTAAATTCCAGTGAAACACTGCAGTTGTGTGAAGTGCAACATAACATTAAAGGTAAAAAAAAAAACCCTATTCAAATTACAGCATCCTCTATGTGAAAAAAACCAAACAAACCCAAACATACACCACCAAGAACCAAAAAAAAAAGCCAAAAACCCTAAGAAGCTTATACATTTTTAGTATTCGGTTCCAATATATCTTAATCCAGTTTTTCCTTTAACTTTCATAAATCTTACAAAGTATAATTCACATTAGAATACAGAGCAATTGTTTCCTTTTGCGCCTATCATTCCTCTCTTCAATAAAAACTTCCTAAGTCTCAACTTCCACCACACGGAGCACTAGGATGAAACAGACTGCACCAGGTAGCACACCTGCAAGAGAGCTGTCCACTGACTAAAAGGTTTGTAACACTCTGTTATTGCTATCAGAACTTAACAGACTTGGCTCTAATGGTGAAGGCTAACAGAGATTATTTACTTGTCAAGTAAAAAGAATGCTTATACAATCTACTTGCCCTCAGACTGGTGCTGTCTCTCTCTTCTAAATAAAAGGAGGAAGCTGGAAGCTTTAAAGAGAGTTAAACAAGAAATGTAACTGTAGTTGGAAGTGTACATTGGCTGCTGGATTCCAAACAGTGCATATAATTCCAAATAACAGCTGCTAGTGACATGACAGAAAGCTTTAGCAGAAAACTAGAGCAGAAGCAGGAACGATCACTTGTAGTCTAGGCTGTGTTCCTCACTACTTTTATGAAGGCAGTCTCATTACAAGACAAAAATGAACTATTTGATTCAGCAGCAGTATGAGACATCACCTGGCACACCAACCTACAGCAGAGGTGCTTTGGTGAGTTACTCCAGCTTTACAGAAGTGATTCCACATCACACCACTCCAAGCATAACTGGGCAATAAAGAAGTGCAGAGAAGATCCAGACCTAACTTGCCCTAGTTCCTGTTCATGTTAGTAGGGCATCCTAAAATCACTCAAGCAAGCAAACAACACTTATCTGACTGAAGAAACAAATCTGAAGACAGAAGACAACCTGAACCCAACTAGAGCACTTATCAAGGCTGTGGCAGTCTGAAGACAGCACAAACCTTGTCATGTCAGTGCTCAGCAAGTGCCTATCTGTAATGACGACAGTAAACAACCAAAGTCCTACCAATCCAGGCAGTTTCAGTTTGCATACTTACCTAACACAACCTCCCATGGCAGCTCTGAAGATTAAGAGCAGAAATGGTGACGTGAGCTTACGAAGTTAACTCAAGAGCTAAGACTACACAGTGCTAGCCTCTGCTATCCCCAGAAAAGCATGTGCAGCACAGCTGCTGCTTAGCAAACCTATTCAACACTAAATAAAAAAACCAAAACAACAATACTAAAACAACAGAAAAGGCCACACTGAAGAAAAGATACTGTTTTCCTTAACACCCTGTGCAATATTTTGTTATCCTAGCATTACATGCCAAGGAAAATAAACTCCAAATACTCCCAAAACAAACTCCCCTGCCTATGAAGTGTAGGAGATAGCACAACTGCTGCATTTTAATAACATGCATTTGGCATCTCACCAGCAGAAACTCAGACTACACTGCCTAACTACTCTTTAGCTGATGCTGTCACACTGTACAGAGGGAGCTCATCATCTGGGAAAGGCAAAAAATATCCCTCCTCTCTTAGGAATGAAAGCAGGATCTAAGCACATTCAAATCAGGCAGACATTCAGACCTGACCTGAAATTAACCTGTTTTTTCAAATACCTAAGTTTATACAACCATAACATGCTGAACTTCTGTTACTTACCAGCTGCATATCTACTATGTCATTATATCTTATAAGAGCAATTGGAAGAGTCACATCTTCAAAATCAGTCTTGTTGTCTGAAATAGCAGACTAAAAGAGAAAGTGTAAGTGGTAAGCATGTTGAGCCTATTTACAAAGTAGGTTAGATCCCTAAAAAATTAGATCCCTAGAAACAGATTATCCTTTCAATTTCAGTGTATTTGTAGAAAGATAAAAACAAAAGAGCTCATTCATCACCCTTTGCAAAGGATTAATAAAGATATATGTACTTAAACCAGATGATACTTCCAACACATCTGGATTCATACAGCTCTTGTGTTTTTATAGTATTACAAGGGATAATCAAAATTGGTTTTAATTTCTACACTTCTAAAACAAGATGAACTTTTTGTGATAATCACACAAACTCATAAACTGTACATATTTGTACATACACTTTGTATCTGCAATGGAGAACAAAAAAGCAAAAAAAGATCTTGTGAGATCTCATTATTTCCAGTTTTGGATTACATTTCCCTAGCTTATTTTTATCACACAGGTCTAAAACAGTATCACCCAAGCTTACATGGAAGTCAGAATGCACTAAAATTAGGGAATGATAAAGACAAGTATTTGCATTCAGAAACGTGTTTGAAGATACAGGAACATGTAAAAATCCAGCTCTGTAGCTCCTCTGAGCTGATGCAGGCCAGCATTGCACAGCCCCAGCAGCACAGCTCTGTGAGGAGGTAACGACTTGTGCTGGAATCCCACATGTGCTCAGGGTCCTCTGCTTTGGGGGCTTCTCTCAGCTTAGCCTGCACAGCACTGCATGGGATCAAAGAGACAAGACACTATTTCAGTGCAGAAGGAAACTGTTTGTTGTAACTCACCAGCCTAGATTTACTGGCAATCAAAAGCATTTTAGCACCCAAACTTTGTGCAATTCTTGCTTTCTCCAAGAAAGTGCAGTTTCCTCTCATCACTACAACTGCTTTGTCTTTCATTAAGCCAGAAGGAACTTCAGCTGAACTGCAGAGGACTGTAGAAGTCAGGTTTTCCAGAGCCCTGAAAGTCTGCAGAGAAAGAGGAAGGAATGTGATTAAAATAGGATATTTGATATTACAAATTAATTAATCCAGATGACTACATCACTATGCTCTTTAACTGGAGATTTGCCAGGAAGAGGTGTAACAGAAAAGAATAATTCAGGAATATAAAGTCACAGCAGCAGTGTCTGCAGCCTGCAGTAGTGAGGGACATTTAGAGCAGCATAGAGCTGAAACATTCTGGCTATTTCTAAGTGTAATTTCACAGTAGTTGGTATTGTAATTTAAATATAAGAAACTGATTACACAGAAAAATCACCTGCTTTCAAGACAAACAGTACATCAAACTGATGAGCCAATATAAAAAAGGTTCAGAAATTTACCAATTTTTGTTAACAAATAAACAGAACTTTAACTCTCAAATATAAAACCTAGACATAAGGATAATATCCGAAGGGAAAAAAATTAACAGGATAAAATTAATACATAAACACATAAATAAATAAACAATATACAAAGCTGGTTCTAAGCACAGAGTGAGTATTCCCTTTGTAAACTCTAGAAGCCAACTCTTTAAAGGACAGAAATGTTCACTATAGAGTTTTTTTTGGGTGATTTGGGACATAGGGGGCAACATGAACCAAAATGTTAAATATTGAATTTAGCATGTATTTAACTCAAAAATTTGAAGACCAGTTATAATTGACTGAAATTCATACTGCATTCTAGTTTTCTTAGAATGTATGACTACAAGCTACTTACAGCATTGTCCAAGGTTTTTGGAAGAGATACCCAATTAGAGTTGTAAATGATGCAGTAATCCTTAGTTACTGGAGGCACTCCACTTCCAGAGGCATGCAGGATCCCCTCATCAGCAGCCACCTGCAATAGATCACAGAGTTCTGTGCTCCACCAAGTTTAGAATATCAGTTATGCAAACATTCTTCTAAAAAGCTGATGAAGGAAAAGACCTGTTAGGAGAAAAGGAATTTACTAAACTCATTACTTTACATAATAATTGATTCCATGAGAGATGGGGAGCTTGAGAGCAGGCTGGAAATCTAGTAAGAATCTAATTACTATATAATGCTGCTTATCCTCTTTGCAAATACAGTGTATTTATGACATGTACAGTTCATGTCACCAAGCAGAATACCAGCCAGAAACCAAAGCAATTCAGATTCTCTATCTTGTGCCTCCCAAAAAGTGTAACATTTTACATGGAAAGCAAATAGAAGAGTACATGGAAAAGAGATTAAGTTCTGGAGACTTCCTTCCTCACAGACTCTAGAATTTTCCCTACTAATAAAAGTAGGGGATTATATGTATTACATATATGCGTATGTAATATATACATATACACACACACACACACATATATGTATCATATGACAATTCCCCAAATATGTTTTGTCAAATAACTGTAAACACAAAGAGACCAACTAGTATACCTTAAAAAGAATTTGTGTAGTCAAGGAAATACTTGCGTTTAAGATTAGAGTGACTCACATAATGATTCCTGTTATTTACAAATACAGCTGAATTTTAAAACTTCTGATAATGTTAGGAATGTATACTTCTCCCCAAGCATAAATAAAGGTCAGGTATCTAAGTGGATAAATGAACAGGCTAAAGATTAGGTGCAGCTACAGCTAGAAAGCAATGAAAAGAAATAAACATTATTTGCATCTCCAAAAAGCATCCTAGTAAAAAACTGGAAGATGTTCTTATTTTAACTGTCCTGAAATTGACCTCAATAGAAAGAAGCATAATAAGAGTTAAAAAAAAAAAATTAAATCCTGCGACAAAATTCAGATTTATATAAAAAACTACTAATATATTAACCTAGCGATAGGCATGGGTATGGGGGAGAAGCCCAAACAGTTAGATACACAATCTAACTGCTAAGCATTAACAGTGCTAGAGAGGAATTTCTCCTCAAGCTAGAAGATCTGTATTCTGCAGCAAGAGAGAACTGGAGAGAAAATAAAAGCATGTGACGATATTGTTTCAGAGGTTTATGTCTGCCTGGTTTGAATAGCAAAAAACCTTCTTCAGAGGAATCCATTATATTGGCCCCAGCGCATGAACATCTGCTGGGAGAAGTGTGTCAAAGGGCCTGAGCACATTAACTGTTTAATACAGAACAGTTCTTCAGCTGTCAGCTGAAATAAATTGGTCCATGATTTGTGATCAGTACAAAAATGATCAAGCTTCTCTCTTAAATGCATTCACCTAGAAGTACAAGCTAACAGTGAATTAAAAGTAGACTTCTAACAGGTGCAAACCCCAGAGGTTTACATCCATTAAAAGCTCTTTCTGTTTCACCAAATAGAATAATAAGTGTTTTCTGGGTTCCAGGAAATCAAGTGTTAATGCTACACAAGCATAAATCTACCTAGAAGGAGTGATTACTTGCTTAGACGATATGCATGTTTTGTTTGGCAAGCTTTCCTTCTCTGGGGATTAATCAGGCCACACATTTCATCCTCATGAGGTGGAGGGAAGCAGGACCTGAGCATGACGTGCACCCACACCTATTCATTGCTGAGCTCCAGAGACAGCACTTCAAAGTTAAAAATTAAAAGAAACACTACCTGATAGGCCTCATTTGGTACATCCCCAGGGAAATCCTCTTGCATCTAGCTAAAGTCCTGTTACTTTCTAATGGCTTCAGTATCCTTTCACAATAGACCAGGGCTACTGGTTTGGGTAGGTGGCCTTGCAGTCAGCTGTGCCACTGAAGAAATCCTATTCTCAGTATACACGCATTTCTCACCGAGCACATTTTCAATGTTGTTACTTAAGAACAAGACTAAATGTGTGATCACAAAAACATCTCTTGAAAAGATTAACCTGCTTCTCTAGGTTGATTTGCTCTGGCATAAAAGCACTCCCATGGAGAAGAGGCATGACAGCTGTCCTTGCTTTAAGGGGCATCACCATCTCCTTTCCCTTCAGGTTCAGACAATTCCCAATGGCCCTTGACCTCCATACCAATTCCTTCCCATTTCCACCACACAGAATACAGGAAATCAGACGAACCAGTAGACACAGAGACCAAACCAAGCCTATGTTTACAACATCCATCACAATTAGTAGCTAGATAAGACATACAGAAATTCAAAGGTACAGACTAGTGAGAAGGTAGTCTGCATGTAGCAAGTGACAACATAAAACCCACAGAAATATAAAAAGGCAGGGGCAAAAATAGCCATGAACAGAACAACCATCATTTTGTTGTTCTGCCAGTGGCTGTGTGACACACACAAATCGGCCCTTCTCCCTCCCTCCAGGCACTCTGACCCAGAACGGGAGCCCACGCTCAGAGAGGAGCAGTGATCCTTCCCCAAACCCAACTCCCCGTGCTGTTAATGTCAAGAGAATGCTCCTGAGGCAGAATGACCTGGTCCAACACTCATCACTGCTACAAATGCATCTGTAGAGCAGAGAAGGAGGCAGGACACAGGGGCTGGAGTCTTTTAAGAGAGCAGAAGCCCCTTCCCTTGTCAGCAGCAGCAAACCACTGGAGTAAAGGGCAAAAGCACTCTTCAGAAAACCCCAGCACACCCGTGACAGCTACGCGGGACTCAGGAAATGCCACGGAGACAAGCTACTACCCCCAAAGGCATTCTCAAGGTACTAAGAGACTGTGCTGTGCACCTGTTGCTAAGCATATGCAATGGTGACGTCCTACATAGGAAAGAAGTATTCTACATCCTGTTTTACCAAAACTAGATAAATTCTGTTAAAATTAAGTAAAAAAAAAAAAAAAACCAACAACAAAACAATTTCGTTGAACAGCATTTAATGCATACATGCCCTTTATACTGCCTGAGCAGATTATGGAGGTTTCTGACTTCCCCACTGCACTACCGCATTTGGCAGAAGGTGGCCTGCCAGATTTCCACGGCAATGTACACCTGTGGAGAGGGAGAAGCTGCGAATGTGTGCCACACCGAAACCAAAACTGAAGGTGAACGAGACAAAAGTCAGAATACACATACACACTAGCAACTTTCCCCTTTCCCGCATCCAAATTTAAACACCATGTTTATCCACGAAGGCACCCGTGAGATTTGTTATCTCAACTCCCAAGGCGCGACCGGAGTTGGCCCGGCCTGAGCTGCCCGGGCCCGTGGGGGGAACCGAGAGGCCCCGCTCGAGGCGCGCCCGGGAGGCCCAAAGCCCCCGGGCCGCACTCCAGCCCAACCCCGAGGCTCGGACAGAGGGAGTCCGGCCCAGCCACGGGAGACGGGAGCTCCCGGGACCGGCCCGGGGGAGAAAGCGGGCAGAGGGAGCCCCTGGACCGGCAGCGAAGAGCAGGGACAGGCAGCGCCATCCGCCAGGGCCGGCCCGAGTGGCACCGCTCGGCCCCGGCCGGCGCGGCCCCGCGTCCTTACCAGCGGGAGCAGCAGGGCCCAGAGCGCGGCCCGCAGCAGCCCGGCCGCCCCCATCGTCCTCCGCCGGCTGCTCGGGGAGGGGCCTCCCTGGGCTCGGGCTCCGCACGCCCCCGCGGAGCCTTTCACCGGCATTTCCTCTTCCGTCCTTCGCGGCCGCCGCTGCCGCCGGCCGGTCCCGGGGCGCCGCGGGCACGGCGGGCGGGGCGGCGCTGCCGGCGGGGCGGCGCTGGGGAAGCCGGGCGGGCACGGGGCTGTCCGTCCCCGCCCCCGGCTGTCCGTGTGCCCGGGCCGTGTGTTCTGTCGCTGCCGTGCGCAGGGGGCCCGTGGGTGTCGGGGTATCCACGCAGCAGCTCCCGATGTTTTAGGCACTGACGGGCTCACTAAAACTCCTCAGAGCCCCTACAAGTAAGAGGAAACGGCCGCGTTTGCCTCGCGTCTCCCGACACAAAGCAGTCCCGAGTGTTTCGCCTCGGTCCAGCCCTCGCAGAGCCATGGGAGGGACGTGTGGTGAAGATAGCAGGATGTCGTACGTGAGAGTAACAAGTACAAGAAATAGCAAAGTGTGACCTATAATACAAGGTTGAGGAAGCTGCGTTGTTTGCTCTTAAAAACAAATTAAAACAAATCAGAAAACACCCCAAAAAAACCCCAACAACCCAACAAGCGCGTTTCAGAGATTTCGTCAGGTTTCGAAAGTATGAAAAGGGCTGTGATGCGTCAGATGTAAGAACCAGCAAGGATTTCCAGGAAAGAGATGGGCTGAAACAGCTCTGTGATTTACCAGCAAAGGAAGTTGTTCAACATCCCTTTTTTCACTGGAGGTTTTCCAGCACTGGTTCCGCGATCCGCCCCCTGCCCCTTCCCGGGGCCTGCCGAAGAGCCGGCACAGGGAAGAGGAAGGAGTGAAGATAAGATGTTTGTAGAAAGAAGGGAATGTGGCCATGACTGAGACGGCTGAGGTGTGAGGGAAAGGGAGTACGAGAGTTAAGCTCCACTTCAGCACCAGTAAATCAAAGCCTGAAGTGGGTAACTCGTTTAGTTTGAGTTGCTCACAAACTAAGTGTTTATTAGTTATTACTACTGAGGAAGGAGATTCTGGCACGCATTGTTTTTCCCTCTCTGTGCATTTATGAACAAAGGCATATGGAACTTCTCCAGAGAACATTCCCCACTGCATTATGGCAAATCATCAAGAAGCTGTTCAGTTGCTGTAAAAACGGAGTAATGTTTACATACCTGTACATAAGTAGTGTTATGATCTTTTGATGGTAACAGACAGGCTTTTTATTTCACTTAGGGACAATCTACAATTCATCATTATATCAGCAACAAACAGGCTTGTGCATCTTGTAGAATTGCTGACCTGCAAAAGTGCGTCTAACAATTTCATGTGCTTAAACAGTTAAACAGATAATGGCACACTGTGACACAGCTAATAATTAATATTCTATGCAGAACTGGTATTTAAAAAAACAGGCTAGTATTGTCCATCTGTGTGTTTCTATTCTGGTGCTGTTTTCAGAGTAACCATGACACTTTACGCCAACTACTATCTCTTCTTCTGAGTCTAACAAGATGTGAATGACAAATGAATACTGATTTACTTCAATAAATCGGCCAGTTCTGTGATCTGTAATGAGCTATGGGTATGTACATTACACTGTATTTTGGGCATGAAAGAAGTGTTTAATTTGAATTACAAGTGCGTAGCTGGTCCCAGGATCAGATTCCATGGCGGCATGTCCTGTCCTGCCACATAGTAATCCTTCTCCTTGTGTTCCCCAGGAAAACACAGCAGTTTTTATTCTATCTGCAGCTGGAAATAAAAATGGGCCAAGGAGTAAGGAATACAATTACCTCTAAATAAAAGGAAATTGCTTTCTCAAAAGTGTATGCTTGGTTTGATGTGCCCTGCCTTGATGGTTGTTTCAAGATAGTGGGAAAACATTTTTTACACTAAACACATATTCTGCAGTCCAGTGGGACTATGTAGGTTAGAAATACCTGCACTGAAAAGCTGTGGAGAGGGGCAGGGGGGGTTAGGATATCAGCTTAAGATATTTCAGGGGGGTTTAGGATATCAGTGAAAACTTCTTGGGTAATCTTTATTAGCAACCTCCGTAGTCCTCAGTCTTTACCAATAGCTGTAATATGTAACCAAAACTAAAAACATTATCTATTTTCAAATTTCAACACCAAGAAAACTAGATTTTGTTCATATATGTGATTTCCAATGCCAGCAGAAGAAATCTAGGCTATGAAGACATTCAGAGCTTGAAGAATGACTTCCAAGCCTAAAGGATCTTCTCTCTTTTTTCCAGTTTTAAACCTCAAGTTCCTTATTTGCAATGAACAATATAACCCTATGCATAAACAGTGTAAGATACTAAAGCTCTGTACCAAGAATTGTATCCTTTCTAGACCACCATAATTCTTCCCATCAGAGAGAAGAGCATGCTCAGAAAAAATGCCTTTCCCAACCAAAATATCAGCATGGAATAAAATCTGTAACTCAACTAAGACATCCCCAAAGTGTTAAGGAATGGAGATACTTAATGTAGGCATTGAGGATATTAGTTAGAAAGTGGAAACTGAACCTAAATAACAATTAGCACAGAAAATAAACTGCTTGAACAATACTATGCATCTATTGAAATCTTCTTCACGGGAATAATGGAGTTACCCTTTCCTTCCCCCTGCAGTTTTCCACCACTTACATGGACTTCTAAACACTAATGATTCATTCACAAGGAAAGAAATCCAAAATACCATCGATTCCAGGGCTGTTCTCCTAATCTTAACATTGCATTAAGTGCTAATTTATGGTTTTTTTCATAATGATCAGTCTCTTGGCTTTTCAGTAAACTGATCCCAACGAATCTGCTTTTTCCTATTACTTTCCCTGTATTTCCTGCTGCAGTTAAATTCGCTCTTCCAATAGCTTAACTTTGAATTATTGTCTAATTCTGTTAATTCTGCATAAAATGCCATAAACAGAAGATAGTTCCTTCCTAGGTAGGCAGATGTGGAAGGACGGCTATCAGCATGAGGTATTTTAAAGAAACATTGCATAATTTTTAGAGGACTAAGATTGCAAAAGCAACTGGACTCTGCTTGTCAAACAGTTATGTCACACAAGTATCAGGACAGAGGGGAGTTGTGGTTCACTGATCAATACACAAGCTTCAAAGGGATGAAGGAATGTTTTACATGTATTAATTTCTAAGAACTAAGAAAGAACACTGACCCAAATGCTGCACATATTTCTAAGAAATTTAGTAGGCAGTAGAATAGTAGGACAGAATAAAGCAGGTGATGAGGAAAGGGAAATAGCTTAACCAAAAAACATTTTACTCCATCCTATAAATTCTTTCAGTGCCTCATATTTTCACAGCTTTTTGGCTGGAGTCTGGAACAAAACAGCAAAATAACATTGTGAAACCTCTTGATTAAATGGATACAGGAAACATTGTTGCTGAAGCCTGCTGTCTCTGTGAGACAGACACACATGGCAGTGATAGGGATATGTGCAACAGCCTAGTGGGACCTGTATCTCCTGGCAAGAGACTGATCCAAAACATACAAAGGATGGAATTTAAGAAATATTTATTCATACAAACACATTTAGCAACTATTCCCCATGTACCAACAGCCTTATCTGAACACCAGTAAATATGATTTTCTGCAAGGAAGAGATACCCTAGTTCACTGAATATTATGCAGCAAAGAGAATAACTAATTGAAATGCATTTTCAAGTAATGTTTCACCTAGTTGAAAGAAACAAGTGAAAGCTTTACTCATACACCATTATGCAGCAAGGCCCCATTAGCATGCATTAATGAAGCACCGTAAACCTTACTTTTGAATTACATTGCTAAGCTTGTGTCACACCCTCAAAGGCATTGAGTCAGGTTTTAATATTCCCTGCTGGTAGAGACTGCAAAAGTAAATGTGGGTAACTGCATTTAAAAGGTTATTTCTTTCACCATTAATCTGCAGCTTCAGCTCATGTTGAGTCCAGACTTTCAAACTTGCATATATTTGATCAATTTTTTAAAAATAGATTTCTGACTAGAATAAATACCATTGTTTTGTCAGATCTATGAATTCTTAATAACACACAGCTCACTAATTAATGGTTATTAGGGCAGTCTTCATTCACCTTTAGACTCAGGTAAGTTATGTAAAATGTACATCTATTTCTTAAGTACCAGCAAGATCAGATGCATGTAAATAAACTATTGTACATAAAATAAAAAGAATCCTGTAACCACTTTTTCTAGCTCTTTGATGAAGAAACGCAAAATTAATTAGTCATCCACTTGTACAGGCCAGCGTCAGCTTTAAAAGCACATTCAATTCTCTTCCAGTGATTTAAATGCAGATTTTAAGTCCATTTAAAAAAATTTCAGTAAGCCAGAGGAATCATACTAATTTCAGTTTAAAAGAATGGCTTATTTTCTTACACATTACTTAAGATGGTCTAAATATATACATATATATTAAAACAAATATATTAAAACAGTAAAAAACATGATTCAACTTTTTTTTTGCCTCTGGATTAGGATGGGCCCTTAGTAATAATAACCTTAGTTTTATTTGGTTTGGATTCATATGCAAATATTAGAGGAAACTTAACATTTGTTTGAATATTCTTCCCATTTACATTCTTTTAATAACAACAAAAAATTTAAAAGGTTCACTGAATAAAATAGTTTCAACACAGTTTTGTGGCCTTGAATTCATGAATAATTCATTGCAGAGGTCTCAACAAACAGCTCAGAGCTGTTCTTCTTGTCCAGCCATTCCTAATCTCTTACATTAAAACTAGGTTGAGAGAACTTCCATTTAAACAAAGGTTTTGGGTATCATTTTAGGATATTGGTCATGCTAATGGGATGCATGTACATTACAGGATGTATGGAACAAGTGACAACTACAAGGTGTTCAGTAGCCATACCACAGTGCTTGATAAGCTGGGTTTAGGCAGCACAGAGGCCAAAGCACACCATGCCATGGGTGTCCTGTAGACCTCATTCTCCCTGAAAGGGCACAGCTTTTAGTATGGGCTCGTTCATCTCTGGGCTCGCGGGTGAAGACAGGAGCTGTAGTTCAGTATCAAGCACCTCAAGCTGGGAGCTTTTTTGGCACAAAGACACATACCAGTAACATCCCTGTCTACTCAAAGTGCTTTCACTCTTTTGTTTCATC